ATCTATCTATCTATCTATCTATCTATCTATCTATCTATCTATATATCTATCTATCTATCTATCTATCTATCTATCTATCTATCTATCTATCTATCTATCTATCTATCTATCTATCTATCTATCTATCTATCTATCTATTTATCTATCTATCTATCTATCTATCTATCTATCTATCTATCTATCTATCTATCTATCTATCTATCTATCTATCTATCTATCTGTCTGTCTGTCTGTCTGTCTGTCTGTCTGTCTGTCTATCTATCTATCTATCTATCTATCTATCTATCTATCTATCTATCTATCTATCTATCTATCTATCTATCTATCTATCTATCTATCTATCTATACGCCTACGACTTTTAGCTCTCCTGGCCGTTTAGACAATGGTATTAGTAACAAACTTGGTATGGCATAACATGACTGTATAAAAACATATTTGACTTGTCATGACATGAAAGTCATGATATGTATGGCATGAATGTCATGATTTACAATTCATGGTCCTCCAGCTTTTGCAGCGGTTTCGTTCACATAGCATGATGCAAAACTGGTATGGCTGGACATGACTGCATGGGGAACACAAGTGAGAGACCCTAACATGAAAATCATGACATGCGTGTCATGTAACAACATGACTACATGCCCCACTCATGATGCGCTCGCGGCCGTTTCGCTAGCGTCACATAATTCCAAATTAGGTAGTACGGTACGTGAAAGGTTGACGAAGGTATGTGACTGGTGCAAAGATTAATCATTAGATGCATGCCATGTAAAAACATGATTACATCCCATGCTCATAATGCGCTGGCGGCCGTTTTGCTAGCTTCACTTATGCCAAACTTGGTAATATGGGACGTGAAGTGAATGAAGGACGAAGGTATGATAATGGCGTAAGCATGAGAAACAAGAGATGCGTGTCATGTAACAACATGACTACATGCAACACTCGTGATGCACTCGTGGCCGTTTCGCTAGCTTCACATATGCCAAATTGGGTATTACGTGGCGTACATGGATGATGAAGGCATGCGACTGGTGCAAACATGATAATCATGAGATTGGTGCCATGTGAGAATATGACTACATGCGACACTGAAAGTGCTAATACATTTCGACGTGAAGCGGTGCGCGTCCTCGCTGGCGTTCATTTTGTCGCGTGGTGCCGGCGTTGCCATGCCAGGCACCGGTCCTGCCATGTACTCGCAGGCGCGCGCTGCGCTGTGCTCCTTTGACGCATGCGCGTTTCAGCGCGTCCGGCGTCCCTCCGTAAACGAAAAGAGGGAGACGCAGTGTTTTCTGGGTAACGCATCGGCACGAATTTCGCGTCGGTTACTGTCGGGCCGTGCCGACGGACGCTGGTCGCGTCGGCCACGCCTGGCGTCATGTAGATTATAGAGTGCTCGCGTGTTGCTGGCGTAACGTCGCTCTGCTGAGCGTGCGCGCGCGTCAACGCTACATTTAATATGATGGGCCCTTCATGATGCGCTCGCAGTCATTTTGCTAGTTGCACGTTTACCGAATTTGGCGTTATGTGACGTCAATGAATGACGAAATATATGACTGGTGCAGACATGATAATCCTGAGACGCATGTCACGCAAGAGCATGACAACATACCACGCTCATAGCGTGCTCTCGGCCATTTCGCTAGCCCCTCATATACTAAATGTGGTATCAGGTGACGTTAACAGATGACGAAGATAAACAACACATCCAAACATGATAATCTTGACACGGAAGTCATGTACGGCATCATTTACCTCCACCTCGTAAAGCTGCGCTGATTTTGAACTGACATATCAAGCTTTCTTATTCGTGCTTCGCATATCGGTTCCCAGTGTACGGGGAATCTGCCTTTTTTTTTTTTGCTAATTTCGTGTTATGTGGTTACGGAAACCGGCAGCACTGTTGGCGCCGGCGGCGGTGGTGAACAACTACGGCGGTGCGCGTGACCCAAGTTGTGATCTCATAACAGCCTTCTCTCTAAAAAAGGGTGTGAGGCAGGGAGACACGATCTGTCCGATTGAATCCACCGCGTGTTCACAGGAAGTTTTCGGGACCCTAGATCAGGAAGAATAAGCGATAGGAGTTAACGGAGAGTATCTTAATAACTTACGATTTGCTGATGACTTTGCTTTGTTGAGTAATTCAATGGAGGAATTATAGGTCATGATTGCTGAACTGGACACACCAAACAGAAGAGGTCTGAAAATTAGTATGCATAAAACCAAAGTAATATGCAACAAACTGGGAAGAAAACAGCACTTTGCGATTGGTGAAGAGATGCTGGAGCTGTAAAAGAGCATGAATACTTAGGAAAGATAGTGAACACGGAGCCGAACCATGAGAGTGAAATAACTAGAAGAATAAAAATGGAGTGGATCAGATTTGGCAAGAATTCTCAAATCATGGTTGGTAATCTACCGCTATACCCATTAAGAAGAAGGTATATAACAACTGAAGCTTGCCGGTACTTACCTACGGAGCAGAAACCTGGAGGATTCCAAATGGAATTAAGCTTAAATTGAAGATGATAATGCCAGCGATGGAAAGGAAAATGATAGGTGTAATTTAAGACATGAAATAGAAGAGTGGGTCAGGGAACAAACTGGGGTATTCTAGCTGGAATCAAGAAGAAATGGCTACATGGGCCGGGCACGTAGTGCGTAGGCAGAATAACCGCTGTTCATTAAGAGTAACTATCCGGATTCCAAGAGAAGGGAAGAGGGTGAAGAGGAAACAGAAAGGTAGGTGAACAGATGTGACTAAAAAGCGTGCAGGTATGACGTGGAATCAGAAAACACAAGATCAGGTTGATTGGCAGATCATGAGAGAGGTCCTTGGTCTTCAGTGGACGTAGTCATGCTGATGATTTATGATAATGATGATGCTTATGGTGATAATGATGATGATGATGACGATGATGATTATAATGATGATCATGTGAGCACTTGCTCACAGGAACAGAACCTACACTGCTTAAGTAAATCAAGTGATGCAGTATGAACGAGAGGGTGCTGGGTCCCCGTGTCTGATGTGCACAACGTGATGGTGCATTAAAATTACCCAGTCATTACAAACGAGTAAACACCATTCGTAATCGTTACTACCATGATCAACAGCAGGATCAAGAGCATCCTCTTCTCGCATAAAGATTCACATGAGCAGATATGTAGTTGCGAAAAGATTAGAGTGTCTTTTTTTCAGGTGTCACGCAATATGAATTGATTATCTACAGTGTGACTTGAGTGGCCCACCCGTTACAATCAGCATGATACATCATTATAGTCATCGATGACAGTATCAACGTTACCTTTTGTTAGAGTAGTATTCTTTAACCTGTCAAGTTGTAGGAATTTCGTTATGGATTGGAGCTCCAGGCTGCCATGTCGCAGTGCTGTGTCACAATTTACCATCAGCTCTCAAGAAACTGCTCTCTTCATGGCTACGTTTACATAGGTTCACTAATGCTTCTTTCGAGGGAGATCAGGCGAAATTTCAAATAGGCCCTGATGTGACCCGTCAAATAGCAAACTGAATTCAGGACATCCAGGCAGTGATGTAGGTAGTTTGGTTGCTATTTGTCGCGGGTGCAGTAAGTGTGCGGTGTTTAATGGAGCGCTATATTTTCTGCAAAATTATTTTTGAAGATACGTGAGACAAATGCCACATTATCCCACTTAATTTACGTTTCAGGTTGAGCTTAGCATAGTCTTCTCCAAGATGAAGTTCCAGCAACCACTTCTTTGACATACGACCACAGTAAATCTGCATTTGTTCTATTGGTAATTCCACAAATAAGCTCCTCAAATGCGTAGTGTCGAAGCGGTTTCAAGGGACCTGCAGAAGTGTACCACATTGCGTCATTTGGTGTTGCAAAACAAAAAAGTAAAAGCAGCATATGTACGATGAGCACAGGGAGGAATCGACGTGTTTCTCATAACGTGTCATTTTTTATTTTTTTCGTTGCAGACGCGCAGTTCTACTTTTTAGGTTGAAATGACTGAAAAATACAGGGACGTGATCATATTGTTTATCTTACCTTCATACGCCCTAGACGATCATTCTTCGCGCCTTGTCACTAGGTTAGGAACGTGGCCACTTACTGAGTAATATAGAGACAAAGCTCTTTTAGGGAAAACAAGAAAACTTTGCATATGCATAAGAAGACACATACATGCTATTTTATATGACAGAATGATATTAGGGGCAAAAAGGCACTAAGATGAGAAGTAGACAAAAAAAACGTTGGCAAGAAATATTTATATTGACCGTGGAATGTGCAAGGTACAACGTAATGGCTGTGATGTAGGTTCGTGATAAAGGAATGTGAACAGAAATATTTAAACACCGGAGGGTGCAGAGGAGGAGAGGGAGGTACAAAAATTTTACCTAGATCCAGCGATGCTTTAGAAGTTCTTTTAAAGAAGTTTCTTCTCTCTATACCTGGTAACCTAAGAATTATGTTCCATCGACTCTAACGCACTACAGTCGTCCCAACATGTGTCAGTGGTCAAGCCAAAGTGGTACGTGCACCGATTGGGGAATGCTGTGTTGAGGGAATTTAAAAGAAGTAGATTTCAGGAAAAAAAAACATGTTTAAAGGTAAGCACGTGTGCCAGATATGCTATAGATGACTTTCACTCTAGTTTGTTTCTTTTTATTATGCTGAACCCTTCAAGGTGCTTGGGTGCTTTTTTGTCACTCATATTCTCTACCTTCAAAAATCAAACATTTCTTGCATAACACTAAAATGAGCATTCAGGCGTTGTGCGTAGAATCTCTTCAGTTGTGAATCTTTATATCGTACATAGTTATTGCCTGAAATATGTTAGACCAACGTCGCTCTTCAGCTGTCAGTAAAACAATTAAACGTTCGTATTGCAAAGTGAGCAAAATGAACGAGAAGAAAGAACACAAGGAAGCACTGATAAAACGTTAAGCTTTGTTTATGTTCACAATCATCATTTATTGATATCAGCTTATGCTAAACTCCCATTAGCGACGGCGATAACCGGGGTAACCAGCAGCAAATCCGCCGTAGCCCGCAGCGCCATATCGACCAGTCCCGAAGGCAGAACCATAGCCGTTGGGACGCGCGTATCCACCGTTGCCGTATCCTCCTAGGCCCTGTCCATACGAAGAGTAGCCGGAACGCCCGTACCCACCGTACCCGTAGGCACCGTTGGCAACAGCAGCTGGGCCGTATCCGCCATATCCGCCGTAGGCACCGGGGGCTCCGTAGGCCCCGTATCTGCCGTATCCATTATTGTAGCCCGGGATCGAAGCCCTAGCGCCATAACCTGGAGCACCGTATCTTGCAGCACCAAAACCTGCAGAAGCTGCAGTTCCTCCTGGAACCGGAGGGACTACCGGAGCGGCGTTGAACACGACGTCGGCGCTGGCTCCGGGCGCTGTACCCGGCTCGTTTGTATCCACCGTTGCACGGAAGCCATTGGCATCGGCTACGTAGTTAACGCGACGGTAGAGGCCGTATACGTCCGTGTATCCATATGAACCGGTCTTCACGTTGTTGGCATCCCCCTGCTCGCTGCGGTACTGCCGGTTGCCTAACTCATCCACAATGTCGTAGTTTGTGCTGTATGGTTGAGGTGGCTAGAAAGAAGGGAGACAAATAACATGAGATGCACGGGCACGCAGAAGTAAACGAAATAAAGCTCACTATGAATTGTTGATGTTCACTTTATGTAAGGTACGGCAAAAAAGCAGCGTCAGGTTCGACCTCTCAAGTGCGGAATCAATAGAATTCATGTCAACTGTTTGTTACAGGGAAAATCTTGGGTGTATTTTTCGTTTTGTATTACGTCTCGGTAAATTTTAAGACGAGTGCAATATGCCTGTAATTTACTATAGATTTGTGTTACAGCTGTGAAATTATTTCAGTACATACGAACAAGAACAACTTAAATGTCTCCCAGTTACACTGACTCTTGTTAACAAAGTGTACTAATTGCGATGTGAAGTCTGGCAGATACCTAACACATTCTTCAGAAAAGGTTAAGTTTAAATTGATGAAAGTAGAGGGAAGAAGAAGATGTGCTTCCATAGATAGCAGGGTTGCGGAAAGACTTTTGAGTAAGTAAGTGTACTATCGTGGATGGCTATTTAGTTTCATAGCACATGCCTAGAGCTCAACCTTCTGGAAATCTCGAGCTATCGGTTACGAGAGATTATTGTTCGTTTCGAGAGCTTCATAAACTTCTCAACCTTACAAGCCTTGTATGCGGCGCAGTGCTCCATCTCACATTCGGCGTTCGATGTATGTGTCGGGCGGTCTTATGCTAGCTGCTGCTCTAATTTCAAACAAAATTGGTGACCGAAAAGTAGTATCACTCACTCCAGCGAAAGTCGGCATATCCCTGGTAAGGAGTGCCCACCGCAGGGCCAATGGGGCGACCGTAGCCTGGATCTTGGTATCCCACGGTTGTTTGTTGGCTGTTCTGTGCAATGGCTCGCGCCGCAACGCAGGCGAGGAACAGCTGAAACTGGATTGGGAAGGAAACATTTTTATCAGAATGCACCACCTTTAAGCTGCATAAGTTATTTGAAGAAAGTGTAAATTCCTAAAGTTGGTGGAGCTGACGTAAACTACGCCAGCGGAAAGTTTGTGGGAAAGAAAACTTGTGGAGTAATTAAAAATTATTCGTAGTGAAACATAGGCACGGAGATGTCGTCACCACTTAATAATAGTTTTTGACGAGGTTTAACGTCCTCAAACCACGATATGATTATCAGAGACGCTGGAGTGAATGGCTCCGGGAATTTAGCACTCCTCGGGGCTGTTTAACGTGCACCTAAATTTAAGTACCCGGGAGGGAAAAATTTACACCTCCATGGTGAATGCGACTGCCGCGGCTGGCATTCGGTTGTGAAAGTCGTCACGAAGTGGAAAGAGTTCCATGCGAATTTTGCGGAGTATAGAGGCCAGGTTCGCAACCATGATTAGGTGTCAGGAGTAAGATACCAATCTTTCATTTGAACACGCGAGGAGACTCAAAAGATTTTGCATATACCAAACCAAAAAAAAAATTTGGCAGAAAACTAAACACCTGTAAATTTTCATGAAACGGGACATGACATATTTTATAAGTTTTCAGACCTTCACACACAATGCTTCATTAAGGAAAGAAATATACCATTAAGAACTTGTTTTCTTTGTTAAACACAAATAATGTGATCTAACAAACAATCATGCCAAGGAAAGTATAGGTGATTCATTTAAAAGTGATTGTAATGTAAATGTGAAATAAAAAAAAGAAAGAAAAGACAACGTTCCTTGGGCAAGTTATCTTCCTTGGTAAAGAACGCGTACGAACCTTGAAAGTATGCGAACATCAACATAAACCATGAGCTGCATTTGATTTAAGATTAAGAAAAGTCTGGTATCAGAAAGCTGTACGATACTGTCAGTAATTGTCATCCGCGAAAATTTTGAGAAAACTGCAATTATCACCATGTATGCCATAGCTATCATTTATTACGAACCGTCATTTCATTAGGACGACATTGCAACAGCTATGGGGGCACTGCTCAGTCGGAGAGTGCAGTACCTCTTGTCAATGTCTTAATAGATATCTGAATGCACGCCGCTGCTTTCTTGATACTCCACAAGGAATGAGAAAAATGCCGATCAAGAAGAGGGCAAGGTGGAGGAATGGGCCCTCGATTGCTATTCATTCCACGTGGACCTTGAAAAATGAAGATTGTCAGGAAATATTACTTTATTATAGGAATTAAAGACTATAGTGCTCTGTTCAGTGAGGCTACAGATAACACACCCACTACTGGGGACCTTAGTTGAGAATTTGGATGAGTAGAGGTTGGTGCGTAAAGTGTAGAAGAGAGAGCTGCATGCAATACAGACAATGCAACACACGTCCTTATTGGCTGCCAGCCTCATGAGCCGGTAAAACAGTATATTTCAGTTGTTGAATTTCTCAAGAATGACGTTTGTTAAGGAACGGAGCGTTGTATTAGAAGTGTTAAACTTGGTTAGAACGCATAGAGAGAGTATTAGAAAATGAATCGAGCCAGCTTATCTTGATACTCAACAAGGCAAGCATGTGAACATTGCATTGTGCTACTGATAACTAGGCCAGAATTTCAAAAGTCAACGAAGAACACTGTAAATAATGCGACTACTCAAGTGGCGCTACAAGGCACATGTGAATGAGCATGTTTCCTCCTGGCACAGAAGCACAAGGGGGCAAATACTGGAGCGCGCGTAACGAGAACGACCAAAATTATTTATGCCGCACAAGGCTCATTTGGAGACGGCATGTTATGTCAGGTCAGAGAAGGTGTGTGGAATACTTTTCTTGAGCATCTAAGATTTTACGTCCCAAAACTACGATATGATAATAAGACACACCTTAGCGAAGGGCTCAGTGAATTTAGACCGTATGCTGTTCTTTAACGTGCGCTGGCATCACACAGAACACGGGCCTCTGCTATTTCCCCTTCATCAAATTGCAGCCGGCGCGGCTGTGATCAAGCCCGCTACCTTCACGTCAGGAGCCGAGCACTTCAACTAATGGTCCACCACGGCCGAAAGAAGAAGTTTCAAGGATCCATTTCAGAGAAATGAGCCAACTGCGGCTTTTGGCGTGATTGATTCATCGTAAGCTCGTCAGGTATCTAGAATTATTCGAACCAGTTGGGGTGAATGAGTCGACTAGATGGAAAGGTAAGTCTAGTTATGATGCTCTTTAGTAAGATCCTCAACTATAAGACTAGAAAAGGACAAAATGAAACTTTAAAAACAAGGTTTTTTTCATTGTTGAAGGATACGCACAGCATCTTGTCACGATCTACTGAAATATTTCAGTGCTCCTCACGTGGTACGAGCTGCATCACTCGGTGACAGCCGTTCAAATGGTTGCCATAGTTTCCTTTTACGGCTAGCAGAAACGCAGATAACATTCTTACTCTTGATCACTTATATAAACTAGAAGGATTTTAACGTATTATCGCTGTCTTCCCCATGCAAAGCAGGAAGAATTCATACAAGGTTTTTCAAACTCATTCGCTAAAAGCTGCTCGAAATTTGCATCTTGAGTTGAACAAACCGAAAATAAATTATAAAAAATAGACGCCCATATTCTTACCCTGGGAAACATGTTACGGTTTCTTCGTACTGGTGGCGAGTATTTCAGCGTACTGCGATAGCAAGTCGCTACCGAAGCAGTGAAGTGAGTGTGTATGATCTGAGTGTCTGGCTGAAGACATTTATACTTATGCTCACGGCATGTGCAATTCTCTAGAGATCACGTGATGAAAATGCCTGCATTTGAGTGGCTGGCGCGGGCGCACGGCTGCGTGTGTTAGCGTGTGCCTTTCTGTTTTGCGATCTTGCAAAACGGAGTTGTCGCGCACGCCCTAACGTAAGTTCCGTAACCGGGTGAGTTGCGCGCCGCACTGAAAGCGTGACACCTTCATGGTCCCTGCGTCGCGGGCACAAAGAGCGCGCAGTTCACACTTGCGGGATTCCAAGCGACGCTGTGGACATGAAATTTCAGTGCGCGCAAATGCGCATTTGCTGGCTACAAAGCGAGGTTGTTTTCTCAATCTCAGCATGCCATTTTGCGCTTAATTTTCCTTGGCAGAATTCGTTGATTGTTTGAATGAATCTTTGTTTACATTATACTGTTGTTTTCATCCTGAAGAAACTGAGGTCTGTTTTGTTTACTCATATATCCGGAAGCGTTTTGTATTTTGTTACCACGGACAGACGTTCCCCTCGGTAGCTGATTATTGTACTTAATTATTTGTTTTACATATGCATTGGATCGCTTACAACGTGCTCTTCGCGGCGCGGAATAATAACGCGATGTTACCCGAATGCATTGGCACACTGTGTACCGATACGTACTGGGGTGTCGTAAAACACGTAAGATCATTCGTGTGAGCGCTTGAATAACAGTGCAACTTAGCCAGAGAGAAAGTCCGTCCCGATGTTCATATGCGTCAAGCAAACTCCGATGGTAATTTTTCTGAAAAAGTGGGCACACAAGCATGGATGCTAGAAAGAAGACGCGATATCATGTTTCGGAAGTCTTTTTTGGTTAGAAGAGTAATCACTGCATTTTGCAAAAAGCAAGAGCCTTCGACCTGCTTGAGGCATTGTTGTAATCTAGTTTGCAAGACGTATACGCCCGAATATATATAAAAATTAGAGCGCAGGAATAATAAATATTATATTATTTGATTCACAAAGCGTGACTCATTACTAAAGGGTGAGACAAGCCTGAGGCGGGTCAGTTGCGAGGACAGCATGAGCTCATCGTTGACTTCTTTCTACAAATAAATGAGTCTGTGTCATACCAGTCGCATCGTTCCCATCGAGATACCAAGCAGGCTCTCGCTGGCAGTAATACGCGCGTTATATTTCTTACACTTGCAAGCGCTACGGATGAAAAGATCCCCGCAAATGATAGGGGATATAATTCTAAAACAAAAATTAGGGGACCCTGAAGCTTCACTTTTATGAATTCAACACGATAGCGATATCGTTTTCCTAGTACGTATATATTTCAACCACTTAGTCCATACGTTTTATTGCATTTTGATTGATATGTGGGGTTTAACGTCCCAAAACCACTATATGATTACGAGAGACGCCGTAGTGGAGGGCTCCGGATATTTAGACCACCTGGGGTTCTTTAACGTGCACCCAAATCTGAGCACACGGGCCTACAACATTTCCGCCTCCATCGTTTTATTGCATGATGTTACTCGAGACGTTTAAATAGTGGTTTGCTAAATGCAATCTGTGGCTTGTGTCACTGAAGCTTTCGCATATGGTGGTGTACAGTGTAATGAGTAGCATGCTTCAACCCACGAGTATAATACGTGAGAAATGTTTTCGAACATGCTATGAACCCGCTACATGGTCCTAAGAGAATGCGTGCAGAAACATGTGTGCTCTTCGTAATGGGTGGCTCACTTCAAACCATGAAGTGGTTATAATAACCACTCGTTTTTACGCCGAATGACAAAGTATGCTTGTGTCACGCAATCACTGAGATATTACATGTTGTATTGTGAAGCCTGTGTACAGGACACGTGCGTTTGTAAAGTATCAACGACTTTTCACTGCATTTCCAAGCAGTGGATGTTATTTGCAGCTTATTTCAAAGCAGACGCGTGGATATGAGGTAGAAGACCTGCTTGCTACGCAAACGGCCAAGATTCGATCCTCACTCAGATTCAAAATTTTCCGTTACTTAATTCATGTTTCTCGATATTGTGGTCCTGCAAAGGATAATTTCTCGCTGACAACCAACGACGCCCACGCCGGCACAGATGCCGACGTTGACTCCGGAGTTTCTGCGAAACGAGTTCCTCAAAGTTATC